TTGTCGCCTGGACGACCTCTTTCGTCAGCGCTTCGGCCCGTCGCCAGACCTCCCGGACTGGCACAGTTTGCTTAGTCGTGAGATTCAGATTTTTTATATGGACATGGATGCCATTGTTGCTGCTCTGCATGTGATGTATGCTGATGACTCTAGTGTGCTTCCCGCTTATTACTCACTGTTGCCTAGTGTAGGTGTGCCTAGCTTAGCCTCCCCTGCTGCGTCAGGCGTAGGATCCCCTGCTTTGTGTAGTCTTGGTGCTTCCGCCGTCGTTCCGTTGCCAGACGCCTCTGCTTCGCTTTCCTTCACCTTGGACTCTGGCGCTTCTCAGTGTTTCTTCCGCGACTCCACCACCCTGACGCCGCTTCCTGTCCCAGCTGCCGTCTCACTTGCTGACCCCTCCGGCGGTCCGGTCGTCGCCCGCAGTTCCACCACCCTTCCCTGTCCGGCGGTTCTTTCGGGCTCTCTCACAGGTCTGCATATCCCCTTGTTCTCCAGGAACCTAGTTGGTGTCGGCTGCCTCCAGGACCTTGGCGTCACCACTACGTTCCCTGGTCACGAGCGGTATGCTGTCTGTACCGAGGCCGCCACTGGTGCCCCCCTGTCCACGTTCCCCCGGGACCCGGTGTCCGGCCTGTTCACTCTGGACACCGTGACCCCCCCCGCTGGGGCGCCTCCTCAGGTGGCTGCGTCTACCCAGGTTGCTGCTGCCTGCTCCTGTCGGTCCCTCACTCACCCGACTCTCCTTTGGCACCACCGCCAAGGTCACCCTGCGCTCCCGCGTCTGCCTCACATGTCCCAGCACGGTCTTGTCCATGGTCTCCCAGGTTCCCTCCCCCAATTCCCTCCTCCCCAGCCCCACCTTGCACGCCTTGTGTTGAGGGTCGGCTTCCCCGTGCCCCGCACTCCTCCTCGTTTCCCCCTACCGCCGCGCCGCTGCAGACCCTGCACCTGGACGTCTGGGGCCCCGCCCCCGTCCCTGGGCCGCGTCGAGAGCGCTACTTCCTTGTGCTTGTCGACGACTTCACTCGTTACACCACAGTCTTTCCCCTGGAGCGCAAGGCCGACGTGCCTGGCGCTCTAATCCCCTGCCTTGTCTCTGCGCGTGTCCACCGCGGTCTCTCTGTCTTGCGTCTTCACTCCGACCGTGGTGGCGAGTTTGCCTCAGGTGTCCTTGGTCGCTTTTGTCGTGCGGAGGGCATCTCCCAGACGTTCACCCTACCGGACTCCCCACAGCAGAATGGGGTCGCTGAGCGACGCATCGGTTTGGTCATGGAGGTGGCTCGCACCTCCATGATCCATGCCGGTGCACCCCATTTTCTGTGGCCGTTCGCTGTGCGCTACGCTTCTCACCAGCTTAACTTGTGGCCGCACCCTCAGCAGCCGCAGGTTTCGCCGACTCGTCTTTGGACTGGGTCTCCTGGTGACGCGTCTGCGTTCCACGTCTGGGGCTGCCTTGCTCACGTCCGTGCCTCCGGCACGGACAAGCTCACTGCCCGCACCCTTCCCTGCGTCTTCCTCGGTTTTCCCCTTGACGCGTCCGACTGGCACTTTTACCACCCGCCGTCTCACCGCTTCTTTCACTCTCGTGACGTCACCTTTGACGAGTCCGTCTCCTACTACCGTCGCTTCCCCCACCGCGGTCCCCCAATTACCACCCCCCTGTTCCTGGTCACTCCTTCTCCGGTAGTCCCTGCCCCTCCTCCTCCTCCTCCCCGTCCTGCCCCCTCTGGTGTGTCCCACGTCACCCCCCTTCCGTCGGTGGACCCGGTTGAGGAGTCTTCTGACTCTGGTGGCCCTGCTGCGCAGTCCTTGCCGGCCGCCCCTCCACCCGCGTCCCCTCCCCAGTCCCCTCCTCCACCGCCTCTGCCGGCGCTGCAGCCGTCGTTGTCGCTGCCGCCGCCGCCGCCGCCGCCGCCGCCACCGTCGCAGCACCCGTTCGCTGACTCTGGGGGTGCTCGTCCCGGTAGCCCTGGGGGTGGTCCCTCTGGGGGTGCTGGTGTGGAGAGTGCCGGTGGTAGCCGAGGAGCAGCTTGCGGTCCCGGTGTCGCCGTTGTGCCGCCGCAGCAGCAGTCCCCGCCGGTGTCAGCCCTTCGCCTGCTCGGCCTTCCGTCCCCCGACCCTGCGTCGGTTCCTCCCCGGCCGTCTCGTCCTCTTCCTGTCTACGGCCCTGTCTTCCCTCCGCCGGACTCGTCCCCGGCCCGTCTCCCCCCTCGTTCCCCTCCTGTGTCCCCTCCTCTGTCTCCTGGCCCGACTCCTCCGTCGCACGTCTGGTCTCACCGTCCCTCCCGCGCTCGTCCTGCCTCGCCTGTCTTGTGCTCCCACCCTATGTTGCTTCGTTCCCACGCGTCTCGTCCTCCCCTTCTGCCGTCGCCTCCTCCGTCCTCCCTTGTTGTTGCACCCCCCCCGCTGTCTGACTACCTTCGTGCCGCTCGTCCCCTTGTTCCTCGGGTCCTTGCCTCTCTCGTTACCGACCCGTCTGTTCCGACCTCGTGCCTTGACGCTCTTGTCGCTGCTGTCGCTGACTTTGCCTCTACCCGCCGCCTTGACTACGCCTCCGCTCTGGTCTCTGACCTTGCCTGTCCTCCGTCTGTCGGGGGTGCTCATGCCCTTGGCAGTGACGTCCTGGAGGACCGCCAGTTCGAGCTTGCTTTCCTGTCCGAGGCTGCTCCCCATCTCTGTTCCATGCTGCTAGTCCCTGAAGGTGACCCAGACGCTTTCGACATCCCGACCCCTCGCACTTACGCTGAGGCGACTTCAGGACCCTGGGCCTCGCAGTGGATAGCTGCCATGGAGCAGGAGATGGCATCTTGGAGATCCACCGGCACCTTCGTCGACGCAGTTCCCCCACCTGGGGTGAACGTAGTCGATGGCCGCTAGCTCTTCAAGGTGAAGCGCCCTCCTGGAGAGCCGCCTTTCTTTAAGGCGCGCTATGTCGCTAGAGGCTTCAGTCAGCGTGAGGGGGTGGACTTCTTCCAGACCTTCGCTCCGACCCCGAAGATGACTACTCTTCGGGTTCTGTTACACCTAGCTGCTCAGCGTGACTACGAGCTTCACTCCCTCGACTTCTCCACTGCCTTCCTTCAGGGCAGCCTACACGAGCAGGTCTACCTGCGGCGCCCTCAGGGCTTCACTGGCACCTTCCCTCCTGGGACCCAGTGGCTCCTGCGGCGCCCCGTCTACGGCCTGCGCCACGCTCCCCGTGAGTGGCACGACACTCTCCGTGCTACGCTTGCTAACCTGCAGTTCTTTCCGTCTTCCGCAGACCCTTCACTCTTCGTTCGTGCTGGCCAGACTCCGTTCTACATCCTTGTTTACGTCGACGACCTGGTCTTTGCCACAGCAGACAGGGACGCACTGGCCTCCGTGAAGGCAGAGCTGCTGAAGAGACACACGTGCACTGACCTTGGAGAACTGCGCCGTTACCTTGGCTTGCAGATCTCCAGGGACAGAGCTGCGCGCACCATCACCCTGACTCAGTCACACTTGGTGCGCCAGGTCCTTCAGAGGTTCAGCCTTCAGTTCTCCTCTGCACAGCCCACCCCTCTGCCTGTAGACCACAGACTCTCCGCTCCAGTGTCTGAGGAGTTGGTAGAGCCCAGCGGCCCCTACGCAGAGCTGGTGGGTTGCCTCATGTACCTGATGACTTGCACTCGCCCAGATCTCGCATACCCTCTCAGCATCCTGGCTCGCTTTGTGGCCACAGGCAGACACCGACCGCAGCACTGGTCTGCCGCTAAGAGGGTTCTGCGTTATCTTGCTAGTACATCGGGCATGGGGTTAGTGCTAGGAGGACGCAGGCCAGTGGTCCTTACTGGACACACAGACGCTTCGTGGGCAGACGACGCTGAGACACTCAGGTCTACCCAGGGCTACTGCTTCAGCCTTGGCTCAGGTGCCGTCTCGTGGAGAGCTACCCGCTCCTCGTCTGTTGCGCAGTCCAGCTGTGAGGCTGAGATCTACACTGGTGCCATGGCGGCACAGGAGCTCCGCTGGCTGACCTTCTTGCTCACTGACTTAGGTGAGCGGCCTAGCTCTGCCCCGGTCCTGTTCGCTGACAACAGGGCCATGATCCTCCTGTGTCAGGAGCCTCGACTCGAGGGCAGAGCAAAGCACATTCAGCTGCGGTACTTCCTCCTGCGTGAGCTACAGCAGCGACGTCAGGCTCGCGTAGTACACTTGGCCTCAGGTGCCAACACGGCTGATATCTTTACGAAGGCGCTTGCGCCTAAAGATCATCAGCGGCACTGTGTACAGCTTGGTCTAGTTCCTGTAGCCTCTCACTTGCTAGGACCTTGACTTTATACTGTCCTTTATACGTATACTCAGACTGGACTTGTGTCCTCTCCCAGTGGCTGGACTAGTAGTGCCGCCCTGCTCTTGTTCTTGCCTTGTTTGTACTCCTTCTGACTGGTCTCTCAGACCCTTGTCTCAGAGGTTGGACTAATAGTGCCGCCCTAAGCTGTTTGTTTAGGGCATTCCCCTATGCAGTCTAGGGGGTGTGTCAAACATGTGTATTTGTCATGTTTGTATAGACTGTGTAGGGTCGCCTCTTAGAGAGTACAACACTTAGGTATATCTGTGTGTACTCTCACTCTAGCTATCATTCACTTCTCAATTCTGATAGTATCCTCTACAGTAGAGTTCCGTAACCTACCAAGCATAACAATTATATAACACAATATATAATTTAACAAAACCCTCCTCTCTGTTCAATAAATGTGACTACTGTGCGCGGATCGCAAGTAACAGTAACCGAACAACAAAAAACCCTTCGAAAAAATGCACCGCGCCCTTATGTTCTGCTCAGGTAGTTTCGTACAGCCGAGCGTGGTTCCCCTCGTTTCGAGACGGTATTATACGCAACTCTAAACAAACGCATGGTGTGCATAGCTTGCTTACACACAAACCCTTTTCTGTTGGCTCTCCTTTCTTTTCAAGCACAAACAACCATGAAGGGAAACAAGCCAAGTTGCAGTAGCTAAAGAATTCCCAAAAGAAAGGAGTGGCAAGGCAAAGCTTATGACAAAGCAAGCCGAACCGAAACAGCACGATCGTAGCTGACGTTCGATCTCACGGGTGCTACAAAGAATGGGCTTGCTACAAATGGTAAACCACTCCACTCAGGGTCCCTCATTCTGCATCATTGTCTATACTCTTATACAGGTTTCAGACTAAACCCGAACCCCCCTGCCCATGCAGCATCGCGGCATATCCTTAAGGGGCACCACCTGGCTCCCAGTTGCACCAGCTCCTATAGATAGTGGTCTGGCCAATCCTAACAGGGGAAGAGTCCTTGCCCAGACTACTACACCCAATGATATTCAACCACTTGAGTGACGTGACATGAGACCCCAGATATGGTAGATGATAGACCCTGGCAGAGTCCGCATGCAACCGTCAGACACGCCAGCTCCTTTAGAATACCCCGCTCCCCCCTCAAATCCACCCAGGAACCGAGTCCTTCCTTACCCAAACTGCTACACCCAAATATATCCAATCACTTTAGACGATCCTCCCGAAACAGAGTGACATGAGCCCCCAGACTAATGATAGACCCTAACAGGGCCCGCGTGCAACCGTCAAACACATCAGCTCCTATAGATGGTAGCTTGGCCAATCCTCCCAGGCACCGAGTCCTTCTCCAGACGGCTACACCCAAAGATATCCAGCCACTTGAGCCCCGTAAGGAGTGTGATAGACCCTGGCAGGGCCAGCAGCCCCTCACAGTCCCTCAGATCCAGCTCCCTTAGTCTCGGCAAATGGCCAATGTCCTCTGGAAGGCTCTTCAGCTGAATGCACCCCTTGAGGTAGAGCCCTTCTAGGCGGACAAGGGAGGAGAGGGAGGGGGGGAGGGAGGTGAGGGAGATGCATTCCTGGAGGTTGAGGAAGCGGAGGTGGGAGAGGGAGGAGAGGCGGGGGGGAGGGCGGAGAGGGAGGAGCAGAAGGCAAGGTGCAGGCGGTGCAGGGAGGAGAGAGAGGAGAGGGAGGAGGGGAGGGAGGAGAGGGAGAGGCAGGAGTCTAGCTGGAGGTCGCGAAGGTTGGTGAGGTGGAGGAAGAAGGAGCCGGGGGGGGGAGAGGGAGTGGCGGGAGGGATGGGAGAGAGGGAAGAAGAGGAGGATGCAGAGGAGGAGGAGGGGGGGAGGAAGAAGAGGTGGATGAGGTGGACTTTTTAGCTACACCAACGCCATCACAGGGGGGGTCAGGGAGGGAAGCGAGCTTGATGGATCCGGTGAGGCAGAGGCGGGTGAGGCGCGACAGCGAGGCAAGGGAGGGCGGCAGGGCGGAGAGGGAGTCGAAGCCGCTCACCTCCAGCTCCCGCAGCTGGGCCAGCTGGCCCATGGCGGGGGGGAGAGAGAGGGGCTGCGAGGGGAGAGAGAGGGGCTCGGATGGGAGGGGCTGGGCGGAGATGGGCTGGGAGGGGAGAGAGAGGGGCGGCGAGGGGAGAACGGAAGAGAGTGGGTGAGAGGCAGAGGAGGAGCAATCAGTTGCAGAGGATGGGACAACGGCAGATGGAGTATCGAGCGAGGCGGGCGATTGCAGCTGTGAGTGTAACTCTGTTACAATGAATCCGTTGCTGGCTCCATTTCTGCTCGCGCTGCTGCTGACGCTTATGCCTGAAGACCCGTGGCAATTACCACTCAGGGCGCTGATACGGCTAACGCCACTGTTACTGCTGAGGCTGTTGCTGCTGACACTGTTGCTACTGCTACTGCTACTGCTACTGCCACTGTTACTGGTATCGCTGCTGCTATTTGTGCTGCTGTTGGTGCTGCTGCTGCTCCTACTGCTCCTATCTGCCACAGTGCCAACTCTTGTGTCCCTCCCGGCTGGTGACAGACAAGTTCGGCTGCTGTGCTCTCTGCTGTCGCCCTCCCTTTCACCACCGCTAGTGCCGTCTATTAACTCCCCCACTTCCGCCCCCACGCCGCTCCCGCTACACCCATTACTCACTACAATCAGCTTCTCCAATCGCCCCAAGCACGCCAGCGACGGTGGCAGCAGCACCGCTCTGCACCCATCCAGCCTCAGCTCCCGCAGCCCGTGCATCCCAGCCACGTCCCCCGGCGCCCACTGTAACGCCGTGCACCTGGTTACCACCAGCCGCTCCAGCGCAGCCAGGGCGGTCAGTGAGGCGGGGAGGGCGCGCAGGGCGACACAACCCATGAGGAAGAGGGCGCGGAGACGGGGAGAGGGGGGGAGGGGGGGAGAAGAGTGGAGGGGGGGAGAGCTGTGGGAAGGGGGGGAGAGGTGGAGGGGGGAGGCGGAATGGAGGGATCCGTTGACGAGAGAGAGACGACTGAGTCCGTCTGTGACAGTGCCTACAGGTGGTGCGACGCCAGCCGCAGCAATCACGCCCACCTCCTGCTGCCGCCCCTGCTGCTCACGCCACTGCCTGTGCTCCCGCTGCTCAGCTGCCCTTCCTTCCCCGCCACTTCCTGAACCTGCCCCTGCCGCTTCCGCACTTTCCCACGATTCCCTGTCCCTGCTCCGCTCCGGTAACCGCAATGTAACCAGTTCCTCGCACCCCTCCACTACCAGCCGCTCTAGCCGCGTCATCCCTCGCATGGCTACAGGCAGACTCGTTAGCCCGCTACACTGCCGCAGCTGCAGCTCCCTCAGACGGGTCAGCGCGCCTAGGGTTTCGGGCAGGCACGGCGAGCAGCTGAGCCCGAGAACAAGTTTTTCCAGCTGCCCGAGACTCGTTACTGGTTCGGGCAGGCCCAAAAGATGGTCGATGTCTTCCAATTGGAGCTCCCGCAGACACGTCAGCTGGTCTAGGGTTTCGGGCAGGGAGGTAAGATTAGGAAGCGACGCGAGGCGCAGGGTTTTAAGGACGGATAAGCGGCCTAGGTCGTCGGGTAGTGACTCTAGACGCGAGCAGTCGGAAACTTCCAGGAACTCGAGCTCGGCTAGATCGGGCAGGGAGGGCGGGAGGCCGACCAGGCGATTGCACTTGCTGATTTCCAACTCGCGTAGGAGCGGTAGCTGCCCGATATCTTCGGGCAGCAGTGTAAGATTACCGCATCGGCTTATAACGAGTCGTTCGAGGCAATGCAGCTGCGGCAGCGAGCCGGGCAGCTCTAACAACCCGCCGCAGCCGTCCAGCTCCAGCACGCGCAGGCACGGCAGCTGCCCGAGATCGTCGGGCAGCGACGTGAGCCAGTAGCAGGAGCTTATAACGAGGACGTCCAGCAGCTGCAGGTCGCATAACGAATCCGGCAACTGCTCCAAATTGTCCGATTTCTCGATGCGCAGATGCGTGAGACCCGCGAGGTCCCCTAGCGAGTCCGGCAGACACGGCAGCGCGTTGCATGACAGCAGCCGCAAATCGCGGAGCGATCTTAATCTCCCCGGGGAAACCACCGGGAGGACCTTCAGGCTCGGCGCTTCGAGCTGCAGCAGTCGCAGCGCGGAGAGATCGAGGAGCGACGCGGGGAGCGACTTGATGTTCGGCGCGCAGTGCACGCACACCTCCTCGAGCCGCCGGCACCCGCGAAACACGCTCGCGAGGCCGGCCTCGCTCACCGCGTCCACCAGCGGCTGCCGAACCGGCAGGCGAACCTTGCCGAGGAAGAGGTACTTGAGGTTCGGGCATGCCGAGCCTAACGCGCGCAGGAAGCGATCGTCGATGAAGTCGATCGTGTGGCTGTCGAGATGCAGGCGAGTCAGGTTCGGGAATTTAAGAAGCGCCTGCTCGAGGCGGCGGGAGAGGAGCTCGCGCTTGGGGGTAGAGTAGGCGGGGGGGAAGGCGGAGGGGGCGGCGGAGGCGGAGCGGACGGCGAGGGAGGTGAGCGCGAGCGGCGCAACGCGCGACCAGCGCTTGCAGACCAGAGCCGCCTGGTAGGACGGGCGGGAATCGCTGGCGCTTATATCGGGTGTGCTTGTATCGGATGCGCTAGTAGAATCGGCGGCTAGGACTTGACGGAGAATGGAGGTGAGAAGGTCGTCGGAGAGGGCGTGGATCGGCGACGCGGAATCATCGCCGGGAGGCTCGGCGACGACTGACGCGCGAAAATCCATCGCCCGCCTTGTTTGTCGCCCAGCTGATTTTCGACGTCGCTCGTCCCGCTCGCTAGTGGCAACTTGGGCAAGCCTGGCCAACGCGAGAGGCCAGAGGCCCGAGGCCAGAGGCTAAGGGCTAAATGCGAGAAGCCAGAGGCGAGACAGGGCTCGACTTACGATACGACCTGCTTGTCGGAGCGCACAAACGGGGATTTTATCTGGGGCCTCTCTCGGCCAGGGAGTGGAAAGCTGCTGGTTGCGCCTCAGGTGGGCTTGTATCTTGGATGTACACACCACCACCAGCATGACTGCCAGCAGCATTTCTGAGGGAGCACAAGGCAAGGAAGAGAGGACGGGAGAGGGCAGGTGGATGGGAGGGATGGGTTGGGGGAGTGGTTGGTGGGCAGATGGGGGGACTTGTTGGCTCAGCGCGCAGGCAGACCGTTGTGGACCTACTGACGTCGTCGCTTTTAGTAACTCTTTGAGTGTTCGAGAGTGACGACAAATAGCTTTCACAATGGAAAACAATCATCGGATCGGACCTTGAGGTGTGCCGTCATGCCTGGATAAATGACTCAAGGGTCCTACATCTTATACTACCGTAATCACCCGGATAGACGCCCCTCCGTAGTATTAGTCCCATGGGCTCTAACTCGTGCATTGGGACTTATAGGCATTATTCGATTATAGGCCCCCCATATTTTTTCAAAACATGTACCCTATAAGCCCCCTCAGAAATTAAGTTGAAACACTGTACAAATAGACCGAACGGGTGCAGGTAATACCGAGGCTTCTCGCTTCGTGCCCGTCAGAGGCGGAACTCATGCTCCCTGACACCACGCGCCAGCACGATTCGTATCAGAAAAGGAAGTTTCCAGCGTGGCACCGCGTTGACTGGACTTCCAACGTGATTGACTTTTAATCCTCGCCTAAAATTACTCCAAATGCACACGACAAACCAGCAGCTACATGTCGATGTCAAACTTAAATTTTCCATATCATCCCTTTAAAACGCCCATGGGCTTATATTTTTTTATTCAATTAAACGCCCCTCCACGTTTTCAAACCAGTCAAGTAAACACTCCTTATCAGAATTGAGAAGTGAATGTTAGATAGAGTGAGAGTACACACAGATATACCTAAGTGTTGTACTCTCTAAGAGGCGACCCTATACAGTCTATACAAACATAACAAATACACATGTTTGACACACCCCCTAGACTGCATAGGGGAATGCCCTAAACAAACAGCTCAGGGCGGCACTATTAGTCCAACCTCTGAGACAAGGGTCTGAGAGACCAGTCAGAAGGAGTACAAACAAGGCAAGAACAAGAGCAGGGCGGCACTACTAGTCCAGCCACTGGGAGAGGACACAAGTCCAGTCTGAGTATACGTATAAAGGACAGTATAAAGTCAAGGTCCTAGCAAGTGAGAGGCTACAGGAACTAGACCAAGCTGTACACAGTGCCGCTGATGATCTTTAGGCGCAAGCGCCTTCGTAAAGATATCAGCCGTGTTGGCACCTGAGGCCAAGTGTACTACGCGAGCCTGACGTCGCTGCTGTAGCTCACGCAGGAGGAAGTACCGCAGCTGAATGTGCTTTGCTCTGCCCTCGAGTCGAGGCTCCTGACACAGGAGGATCATGGCCCTGTTGTCAGCGAACAGGACCGGGGCAGAGCTAGGCCGCTCACCTAAGTCAGTGAGCAAGAAGGTCAGCCAGCGGAGCTCCTGTGCCGCCATGGCACCAGGTAGATCTCAGCCTCACAGCTGGACTGCGCAACAGACGAGGAGCGGGTAGCTCTCCACGAGACGGCACCTGAGCCAAGGCTGAAGCAGTAGCCCTGGGTAGACCTGAGTGTCTCAGCGTCGTCTGCCCACGAAGCGTCTGTGTGTCCAGTAAGGACCACTGGCCTGCGTCCTCCTAGCACTAACCCCATGCCCGATGTACTAGCAAGATAACGCAAAACCCTCTTAACGGCAGACCAGTGCTGCGGTCGGTGCCTGCCTGTGGCCACAAAGCGAGCCAGGATGCTGAGAGGGTATGCGAGATCTGGGCGAGTACAAGTCATCAGGTACATGAGGCAACCCACCAGCTCTGCGTAGGGGCCGCTGGGCTCTACCAACTCCTCAGACACCGGAGCGGAGAGTCTGTGGTCTACAGGCAGAGGGGTGGGCTGTGCAGCGGAGAACTGAAGGCTGAACCTCTGAAGGACCTGGCGCACCAAGTGTGACTGAGTCAGGGTGATGGTGCGCGCAGCTCTGTCCCTGGAGATCTGCAAGCCAAGGTAACGGCGCAGTTCTCCAAGGTCAGTGCACGTGTGTCTCTTCAGCAGCTCTGCCTTCACGGAGGCCAGTGCGTCCCTGTCAGCTGTGGCAAAGACCAGGTCGTCGACGTAAACAAGGATGTAGAACGGAGTCTGGCCAGCACGAACGAAGAGTGAAGGGTCTGCGGAAGACGGAAAGAACTGCAGGTCAGCAAGCGTAGCACGGAGAGTGTCGTGCCACTCACGGGGAGCCTGGCGCAGGCCGTAGACGGGGCGCCGCAGGAGCCACTGGGTCCCAGGAGGGAAGGTGCCAGTGAAGCCCTGAGGGCGCCGCAGGTAGACCTGCTCGTGTAGGCTGCCCTGAAGGAAGGCAGTGGAGAAGTCGAGGGAGTGAAGCTCGTAGTCACGCTGAGCAGCTAGGTGTAACAGAACCAGAAGAGTAGTCATCTTCGGGGTCGGAGCGAAGGTCTGGAAGAAGTCCACCCCCTCGCGCTGACTGAAGCCTCTAGCCACATAGCGCGCCTTGAAGACAGGCGGCTCTCCAGGAGGGCGCTTCACCTTGAAGAGCCAGCGGCCATCGACTACGTTCACCCCAGGTGGGGGAACTGCGTCGACGAAGGTGCCGGTGGATCTCCAAGATGCCATCTCCTGCTCCATGGCAGCTATCCACTGCGAGGCCCAGGGTCCCGAAGTCGCCTCAGCGTAAGTGCGAGGGGTCGGGATGTCGAAAGCGTCTGGGTCACCCTCAGGGACTAGCAGCATGGAACAGAGATGGGGAGCAGCCTCGGAGAGGAAAGCAAGCTCGAACTGGCGGTCCTCCAGGACGTCACTGCCAAGAGCAGGAGCACCCCCGACAGACGGAGGACAGGCAGGGTCAGAGACCAGAGCGGAGGCGTAGTCAAGGCGGCGGGTACAGGCGAAGTCAGCGACCGCAGCAACAAGAGTGTCAAGGCACGAGGTCGGAACAGACGGGTCGGTAACGAGAGAGGCAAGGACCCGAGGAACAAGGGGACAAGGGGCACGAAGGTAGTCAGACAGCGGGGGGGGTGCAACAACAAGGGAGGACGGAGGAGGCGACGGCAGAAGGGGAGGACGAGACGCGTGGGAACGAAGCAACATAGGGTGGGAGCGCAAGACAGGCGAGGCAGGACGAGCGCGGGAGGGACAGTGAGACCAGACGTGCGACGGAGGAGTCGGGTCAGGAGACGGAGGAGGGGACACAGGAGGGGAACGAGGGGAGAGACGGGCCGGGGACGAGTCCGACGGAGGGAAAACAGGGCCGTAGACAGGAAGAGGAGGAGACGGCCGGGGAGGAACCGACGCAGGGTCGGGGGACGGAAGGCCGAGAAGGCGAAGGGCTGACACCGGCGGGGACTGCTGCTGCGGCGGCACAACGGCGACACCGGGACCGCAAGCTGCTCCTCGGCTACCACCGGCACTCTCCACACCAGCACCCCCAGAGGGACCACCCCCAGGGCTACCGGGACGAGCACCCCCAGAGTCAGCGAACGGGTGCTGCGACGGCGGCGGCGGCGGCGGCAGCGACAACGACGGCTGCAGCAGCAGCAGAGGCGGTGGAGGGGGGGGCTGGGGAGGGGACGCTAGGGGAGGGGCGGCCGGCGAGGACTGAACAGGAGGGCCACCAGAGTCAGAAGACTCCTCAACCGGGTCCACCGACGGAAGGGGGGTGACGTGGGACACACCAGAGGGGGCGGGACGGGGAGGAGGAGGAGGAGGGGCAGGGACTACCGGGGAAGGAGTGACCAGGAACAGGGGGGGGGTAACCGGGGGACCACGGTGGGGGAAGTGACGGTAGTAGGAGACGGACTCGTCAAAGGTGACGTCACGAGAGTGAAAGAAGCGGTGAGATGGCGGGTGGTAAAAGTGCCAGTCGGACGCGTCAAGGGGAAAACCGAGGAAGACGCAGGGAAGGGTGCGGGCAGTGAGCTTGTCCGTGCCGGAGGCACGGACGTGAGCAAGGCAGCCCCAGACGTGGAACGCAGACGCGTCACCAGGAGACCCAGTCCAAAGACGAGTCGGCGAAACCTGCGGCTGCTGAGGGTGCGGCCACAAGTTAAGTTGGTGAGAAGCGTAGCGCACAGCGAACGGCCACAGAAAATTGGGTGCACCGGCATGGATCATGGAGGTGCGAGCCACCTCCATGACCAAACCGATGCGTCGCTCAGCGACCCCATTCTGCTGTGGGGAGTCCGGTAGGGTGAACGTCTGGGTGATGCCCTCCGCACGACAAAAGCGACCAAGGACACCTGAGGCAAACTCGCCACCACGGTCGGAGTGAAGACGCAAGACAGGGAGACCGCGGTGGACACGCGCAGAGACAAGCCAAGGGATGAGAGCGCCAGGCACGTCGGCCTTGCGCTCCAGGGGAAAGACTGTGGTGTAACGAGTGAAGTCGTCGGCAAGCACAAGGAAGTAGCGCTCTCGACGCGGCCCAGGGATGGGGGCGGGGCCCCAGACGTCCAGGTGCAGGGTCTGCAGCAACGCGGCGGTAGGGGGAAACGAGGAGGAGTGCGGGGCACGGCGAAGCCGACCCTCGACACTAGGCGTGCAAGGTGGGGCTGGGGAGGAGGGAAACGCGGGGAGAGAACCTGGGAGACCAAGGACAAGACCGTGCTGGGACATGTGACGCAGACGCGGGAGCGCAGGGTGACCTAGGCGGTGGTGCCAAAGGAGAGTCGGGTGAGTGAGGGACCGACAGGAGCAGGCAGCAGCAACCTGGGTAGACGCAGCCACCTGAGGAGGCGCCCCAGCCGGGGGGGTCACGTTGTCCAGAGTGAACAGGCCGGACACCGGGTCCCGGGGGAACGTGGACAGGGGGGCACCAGTGGCGGCCTCGGTACAGACAGCATACCGCTCGTGACCAGGGAACGTAGTGGTGACGCCAAGGTCCTGGAGGCAGCCAACACCAACTAGGTTCCTGGAGAACGAGGGGATATGCAGACCTGTGAGAGAGCCCGAAGGAACCGCCGGACAGGGAAGGGTGGTGGAACTGCGGGC